AAAAAAAAAAAAAAAAAAGTAAAGAACAGAAGCATCAAAGGGAGGAGGGCTTAGGGGAGGAGTAGGAACAAAAGGGAAGGGAGCACAATGGATTATGGTGGTGGATTCAGATAATAGGTGGCAGGTTGCAATACTGATGGAAGAATTAGAATGTTACCACAATTAAAAGGATAAGTTACTATTTTTTTTAATTATGCATATAAGAACTGGAGTGTATACCAGAGGTGCAGGGGGTGAGAGGATTCACCAGAGAGAGAATGGGGAGAACAGCAAAGATCTACTGAAATACGCTGCTGGGGGGAGCTGTGGGCCAGATACGCAGTCTGCTGTGCTATGTGGGCTAGCTGCAGTGGCAGAGGATAGCTTGATAGCGCTGTCTTTAACTCCTGTGCCACCAGGCAGGCTCCAAGGGTAAATTATTTAAAAAAAAAAAAAAAAAAAAAAACAAATTGGTTAACTCAAAATAGAAATATAGATTCAAATAGGAAAAAAAAATCTTTCCTGTCCCTCTCACCAATGAAAATCTGGTTTTAATGCCCTTCAATGTGCCCTGAAAGTACCTGAGTAGAATGACATATGTAACAAGTCAAGGGGCAGACTTGACTTTGCTGAATAGGTATAAATGACATAAAAACAGATTGATGGTATAGAAGCACTTATCTAAAGGATGACGAAAGTGGAAAACTTCAGAAATAAGGTATTTTCAAATAGAATATTAAATGAGAATATTCCAAAAGTGAGGAAATAGTCTCACTATGAAAGAACACTGGAGTGTGAATATACAAATTTTACAAAAATCAGGTCCAAGATTTCAAACAGTAAAACCAAACTAACTGACTATGCACATGCTTAGACCAGGTCTCCACAAGGGACTGTTTTGTCCCTCGGGATATTTGGTAAATATCAGAAAACGTTACATCTTGGGGCTGCTACCTGCAACAGTGGGTAGAGGGTTCCCCACTAAATGGGGTCAGAAATGCTGCTAAACCTACAATGCACAGGATAGTACTCCATAACAGAATTATGTAATTATCAACAGTGTTGAGGAAAACCCTGATTTAGAAAAAGCAGGGCAAAATGTATTTGGGGAAAAGTGACCTAGTAATAAACCATGTTGCTAGAAATGATATAGATGAAACAAAGTGTTAAAGTATAAAATTCAGCAGTATCAAGGAAGCATATTCATGTTAAATTTCAACAGTGATAATATTTTCTTTAACATAAAAGTTACGCTTTATTTACCACCCCCCAAGACCCCTATTAAAAATGCAACCCACACTTGTAGAAATTTTGAAGTAACTTTAAAATTCTAAAGCAATTTTATGATTCCGCATAAAAATGAAATAATGTGTCCCAGTAAGAAGTTCATTATTCATCCAGTTTAGAGCTTGGGACTTGGGCAATTTCAAAAATTAAATCACCCTCACAGGACAAGCACAATATGTTTAAAGAGAATGGGACACAGGCTCTGAAAGCAATTCCCAGAAAAGAATCCCAAGTAAGTTACTTTGAACAGAAAATACTCTTTTGGATTTACAAAATTTTGGTGTTCTGTTTCATTTTCAGAAAAAAATCACCGCTTTATAGTCTCCTGCTACATTCAAAGTCTGTATCAAGTTAATGCAAGGTTTCATTAATATTATATTTTTACTCTAACAGTAATTTTACTAAACATACATTTTAAATTTAAAGAAATAACTGTACTATTGATAAATTATACTATAATTTGAAACTATTCTTACAGGATTTATGCAGAGGCACTCAGTATTGGTCAAGGAGAAAGGGTCGTATTTGTCTGCGATGACAAGTAGGTCGGGCACAGGATACACTCTCAGCGCATAGTCATAGGCCCAGTACACTGGGCAGACGTGGAGAGGGAGAGGAGTCAGGTGTCCTTGGGATAGGATAGTCTTTACAAACTACAAAAGAAAGATGCAAAACAAACCAGGGCATCTGTAGAAGTTAAAATGGATAACTTAATTTCAAATTAAATATTAATTATCAAATGGACTTAGAAAATTAGAGAAATGATTAGGAAAACTGAATCAGAGCTTTCAGAAACACTGATACATAATGAAGTTAATTTGTGTATTTTGGTGGGAAATTACTCCAGTTAATTGTATAATAAAGGAATTTGCCAATTCTATTCATCTAAAAAATAACTCCATAGCTCAATAATGCCAAGAAAGTCATTTAGCTTACATAATTGTAAGTATCATAAAATAAATACTGAAAGTGCTCTTTAAGATCTACTCCCATGCTTTTCCAATGGGGATACATGTAATTGGGAACAGACAGCAGGGAACCTACAGGATAACCACTACCATCCTGCTAATGTGGAAATGTTATCAGAAATATTTAATAAATACGATGGATTTGGTCTTGGGTCACAATGGTGAGCAGGCCAGCTATTGCAGCATCAAGACGGCGTCTGGTGGGTATTCACAAATGGTACTACAATGCTGCAAGATTCAATAAACTGGGGTTAATGAGAGAGGATACATCTGAGGATGACGGATGTAAAAGACATAAAAAGACTTCCTGAAAACAGCAGAATGTTTCCAATTAAGAGCACTGAATTTGGCCATTGGGCAGCAAATCTTGTCTAAACAGTGAACAAAATATGAGGATAAATTCTACTTTTAACCATATCCAAAAAACGGTTATTCAGGAAAGAAGAGAGAACGGGCAAAAAAATAATCATGTCAAAAATCTGTGGCTGCCACCTGTCCTCAAAATATTTTTAGGAAGTTGACTAAATATACAATTTAAAACTTACTTGAAATTCCTTATGTAAATTATTACTTTAAATAAATATCTACATAAATTACTGGAACAAGAATACAGATACTAACATTCACTAACCAAGCATAGATACATTGTAAAGCACAATGTAATATTTGTGCAATTTATTTATGCATGCATTCATGCTTACTGATCTGGGGTATAGGCCAGAGGTGTGGGGGATGAAAGGATTCACCAGAGACAGAGTGAGGAGCAGAACAGGCAGATTTACTGAAATATACTGCTGAGGGGAGCAGAAGGTGAGACATGAGAGTTCTGCTGCACCATGTGGGTCACCTCCCTGGGTGGATATTGAATTTGTGCAGCAGGAGCTGAGGATAGCTTCGTAGTGCCAGACTTAAACCCCTTGTGCTAGCCAGGAGGCGCTATGTGTGCAATATAAAGGCAAAACAGGAAGCTTCAAAGAAACTTCAGCTTGTCTGGGCCTTCCTCTGCCTACTAGGGGATATGTCAAAGTTGAGAAATATTGATGCAGTAGATTAACTTATGAACAAAACTAATCATGTTATTTTGAATCATAAATAAACATTTAAAAAGGGCAAATTATCAAGTGGCATAACAAAAGTTTATATAATACAACATATGAGATAATTAATGAAGAAAATTTGACTTACATGATTAGGAATATCCCAATTTCTACTAGGAAAACGGACACAGTTCCTGCACATTTTATTCACCAAGTCTTCACGAAAGACAATAATTTCTTGTGTACAATACTGAATTCTGAAATGAAAACAGTTGTTGAATTTGACTTCCATGTAAAAAACTGATAATTTTAATAGTAAGATATTTTATAATACAAAGCCATTCCTACTGCTTGTTACTATGGCAAAAATTTGACCAGGATTTAACTACTGAACCATTCACTTGATAGTTATTTAATAAACTCAGTGTCCAGCACTATTCTAGGGATGAACAAAACAAAAAGATCTCAACCTTCATACATTCTAATGGGGAGAAGGCAGGCACAAAAACTAATAAACATAATAATGTTGAAAAGTTGACTAAATGGGAAAAAGAAAAGTCTAACAGTGATCAACTTGTGGGCAGAGAAGGTTTAAAAGACTTTACATTAAGTATAAAATAGGATGACAGGAACAAGTAGGATCATAATGATGTGTGATCTGAACACAAATTCGGAGAGGAGAGTTACTCAAGCAGATATATAGAGGAACCTCACAGTTTCAGGCAGAAAGAAAGACAGGAGAGACCCTAACCTGGAACATACATGAAGTATCTGAGGAAGAGAAAGGAGGTAGAGTAGTTGGAATAAATGAGGAGGTAGAAGTAGAAGGAGAAGAAATCAAAGGGGTAACAGAGTCAGATCACGCCACAACTTGGACAGAAATGATATGGGCTGTTTCTGAATAACAGGATCAGTAAGGAAATGCACCATTTCTTATGTTTTAAAGGATCACACTGACAGCGTGAAGAACAGACTATTAGGAGGTTATTACAGTAACCCTGGATAAAGATGTTAGAAACTCCTAATAGTAGGGATAAGGGATCAGGTGGCCAGGTCCTAGATATATTTTGAAATCTTCCCTCAAATTTTTGAAGTGCTTCCTGTAAACCTGCAGGTTAGGAAAACCCCAGAGTTTTTTGGCTTGAGCAACTATAATGACAAAGGTGCCATAAACTAAAATTGAGGAAAGTCTACAAAATAGGTAAGAGATGGAATGGAGGGGAGGGGTGGTCAGAAGTTCAGTTTGAAGTTGTCAATTAGACATCCAAAGGCAGATGTGTAGACAACTAGACATGTGAATCTGGAATTTAGGCAAAAGACTGGAAATACAAACAGAAGCTGTCAATACATAGGCAGTATCTAAAGCATGGGACTGGACAGAGTTAGCAAAGGAGTGAATGTAGGCAGAAAAGAGAGGAGAACCAGGGAATAGGGGTGTTCACTCGGCAAGAGCCCTGTGATTACAGTGACTGCACAACCGAGTAAAGGAAAGACCTTTTCATTGTCCCATTGTAACGTTTCTTAAAGGACTTGTAATGACAATATCTATTTTAAAATCTGTATTCTTTAAGTTTCTAAATTCAACAGCAGGACATTATTTAAATATATTTAAATATTTTCAAAGTTTTGAAAAACTTAAAATCTTTTTATTAGTTACCCCAACACAGTCAAAATTTAGAGATAAAATATAAGACTGAAGCTACTTTTTATTTAATTGCATTTTTTTTTAAAGATTGATTTTATTTTTACTTATTCATACGGAACTGGGGTATAGGCTAGAGATGTGGAGGGTGAGAGAATTCACCAAGGACAGAGTGGGGAGCAGAACCAGCAGATCGACAAAGTACACTGCTGACAGGAGCAGCGGGCGGGTCAGGAGAGGTCTGCCAGCCAAGTGGTCACCTCCGGGGCAGGCGGGGATCGAACTCATGCAGAAGCGGCTTAAGTTTCTTAGTGCTGTGCTTTAACCCGATGTGCCACCAGGGAGGGCCTGAAGCTACTTAAAATTTTAAATAAGAGAGAAAGGGGCATAAAATAAAACACTAATGTTTACCTGCAGGGATTAGTTGTAAAAACTGAAAATGGTACTCTCTGTTTGAATTCATTAGTGATGCATTCAGCAAGAGGTGGCCTATAAAAACAATTTATGTGATTCAGGATATATTCCAAATTTAACAAATACCTTTATCGTTGTAAAAATCTAGCTAAAACTTACCTTGGTAGGATAGAACCAAATCCAGGATCCTCTGGGCCAGGCACAAACACAAAACGACTGCTGTAGCAAAACTCAAAATAATTATTAAAAAAATACTCCAACATGAGCCCACCTAAAAACTATTGATAGCCTTTAATTCAATTATGTTTTTTAAATTTAAAATCTGTAATTCATTTTAACAAGTGAACTATTAAAAGCCCCCAACCCTTTCCAGTGCTTCTTTATGTGATAAGAGCCAGGTTCTGTGTCTGCACTGTCCACATATAGAACTTTCTAATGTGAGTCATGGACTGAGCAGTAAACTTTTTTCTATTTTTTTAATTTAATAATTTATTTATTTATATATATTTTACATCGTTCTTTTTTTCTAAGTGTTTGCTTTCAGTGTATTCGCCATGAGTGCCCACCACCAATTCCCCCTGCACCACCCCATCGTCACTTGTGCTCTTCCCACCCTCGCTGTGTTCCCTCTCCCTCCCCTTACCCTGCTGAGTGTCTCTGATCTTGTCTCTGATCTGTAAGTGTCTGTTAATTTTTGTTTTGTTGATATTTTTTCCCCTGGTCCCTTACTTGGTTGCCCTATGTTCCTTCTATAAGTGAAACCATGCGATATTTTTCTTTTTCTTTCTGACTTATTTCACTGAATATAATCTCTTCTAGCCCCATCCATGTTGCTGCAGATAGCATGAGGTTATCTTTTTTGATTGCTGAAAACTTTATTTAACTTTAAATATCTTAAATTTAAAGAGACACATGTGGCCATGACCACCATATTCAAGGTTGCTGCTCTAGGTAGAACCTTAGAGTTATCTCACTAAGAAGTTCAAAGCAAGGTTGAAATTATCACTCTTCCTTTTAATACTTTTTACTGTAGATCTCTAGTAAAACAAATACTATCATGACATGAAGACAATTTTATCTCTTAACTATGCTAATTTCCACAAACTTTTCTTCCATTCATTTCCTGATAGTCTCTGACTAACCGATAAGGTAGGATCCATTTTTTAATTTTTTTACACAACTGTTTAAATAAAAAATATAGCAGTAGAAATCATTACCTTTGGTGAATGCTTGGATATTCACATATTATGTCTGCCAAAGATTTTAGGGACTCTGTAATTTTAAAGGAATATTAAATTTTAGTTTGCATATAGTGCATACGAAAATCAGATTATATCAGATCATGTAGCTATAACTACATCTTTTTGAAAGAAATTAAAATATTATATATTTTTTTACTGTTAATCTTCTTAGCATTTTAGTTTCTATCATTATAAACTAAATTAGACATCAGACCTTAATTAGGTATTAGATATTAGACATTACCTAAATTAAATAGACACTAATACCTTTCAAAGCCTTAACTTGATTTTTTCCATATGGTGCAGATGAGAAATTGCCACATAGTATAAAGCAAGTTGGAGGTGCTGGTGAGTAACCTAAAAATAAAGGAACAAACATCACTTTTCTAGTTTAGAAATCAGGTCAAAGCTCCCTTAACCATGAGTTTTTAATAATACAAATTTACTATTTTAGTAATAAGAAGCTAGCAACTTATTAGAAAACAAACATCAGTAATACCAGCTCTCATTTTAGTGGCTATTATGTGCTATATCTTGAAATATTTAATTAATCCTCACAACATCTCTACAAATTGAGAGATTATTATACTGTAACTTAAAAAGCTTCTATTAGACTGCAAAGACCAAGTTCTTATCTATTCTGATAGTATACTTAGGAATAATTCTTACTTATGAACACACACACACACACATACTGTTTTCAAATGTAAAGATTTGTCTTTAAGATGAACTTTAAAGTATCTTACTGCTAAAAAATACCTTACTGCTGAATTAACTTTAAGGAAAACATATACTCAGACACTTAAAAAAGAATTGAATTTTAAGACGTAAACCCTCATAAGGATTCAAAAAACAATAGAAACTATGATAACTTACCAGAAAACATGGTGTGAAGTTTTTCCATTACTTCTACTCTGTCCAACCAAACATCAGACATAAACACAAACATGGCATCTTTATTCTCATCTTCTAGTTGTTTTAATTTTGTAGAAGTTTTCACAGATGTAGTTGAAGGCCCTCCAAAAAAATTAATATTTCCATAGTATGCCCTAGGTAATTATAAGATATTTATTACCTTCTATGCTATATTCTGTTGGAGACAAATTTCTTTCTGTGATGCTGAGGCTTATGTCAGGGTATATACTTAATTGAAGTTACCACACAATTATATCAACTACTGCATCTCTTTGAAAAGCACAGGGTTATATGGCTAAAATCATACTTTTGAAAATGCCACGCTCAGTCGGTGGCAACCTGATGACAGCTTCCATATGTGAGTACCCACATGGATCAAACCGTGTGCTTAAGGGCTTTCTGCGCAGTCCCTCTCTTAGTCCTACTGTGGCAGGCATGGGACTGTCATTTGAGGAGAGTTAAGAGTTGAGTAATTTAAATTTGTGTTAAATGCCACAAATTTACTGGGAGCAGAAATGTGTTTTTTTTCCCAAGATTTCTACTCTACTCATGCTGCAGTAGAAAAGTAGCCGAATGACTATTTGCTTTTTGTAATCGCAAATACAAATTAGAAAACGTAAAGGCACAAAAAAGAACCACCAAACATATAAAAAATGTAAAGATACTTTATAAACAAATATGAATGTAAAGAAATATGTATATGATCCTCAAGTATTACTCAAGTATTAATATTCAGAGTGCTTTAGTGGTCATCATAGATGTACAGAGAATAGGGAGAGATGTGTAAGACCCTGCAATACTGAGCTGCTCAGGAAATTGCTGAGCAGGAAGGCAGTATAGAGCCTGCCTTCTGTTTCAGCCTCCCGTGGAGAGGCACAGATGCCACTAGGGAGCAATGCAGGAAGCTGAGGCACTGGGGCTCTTGGCAAGGTCTGCAAACCCGCCCTGGTACCTGGTAGTGGGACAGCCGCACTTCCCATGAACCTAAATATTTCCTCTTTTGTGAAAAAAGAAACAAGAATCTACCAAGATGAGTTTAGTTTTCATTAAGGATTTAAGATGATAATATATCTGAGAGACATATCTATATGTACATATTTTCCTTTAGAACAATTGTTCAGTGTTCCCTAATGGAGTGTTTGCAGTAATGTTCTAGAACATAACAACTATAACAAGAACTGACTCTAACATCAATGTTAACACATTAATATACAGATCTATATTCTCTTTTTTTGACACTACAGATAAAGTAAGACTGGCAGATTGAATATCTTTCCTGTTAAAGTCAAAGTACAGAGATGCTATTACAATTAATCTGGAGTCAATCTAGTTTTCTGTTACATATAAAGTTTGGCCTAACTCTTATTTTCCACTACTCTCTGAATGCTAGCACAGAAACTGTAGTCTTGTTATATATGAGCAATGACAGATATACATTTATTACTGATGTACATTATTACTGCCCATATTACAAAATTCTTACAAAGCTTAAGTCAAATGTTTTTATACCTGGTAGTACTAGAGGGTTCAGTAGGTGGAAATCCAAAGGCATTGACATGAAATATTTGATCTTCAAACCAACCTGGACAAAGATAAGTAGCAAATCACTTTTGTTTGATCAATTCTTGCTTGAAAGAGCAAAACTAAGGTACACAAAATAATACTAGCTATTCTCTCATCCCCTGTCAATTAACTACAGCAGTTAATGGCCTAGCTATATGTAACAGCTTCAGATCCAGAAATGAAAAAATAATTAAAGAGAAGTAGGTTCACATGTGAAACTTCACTTTAATTTTATAGTGTAAGTTAGAGTACAGACAGATGAGGAACACAGATAGGGAAATGTTTCATTTTATTAACCTAAGTAAAATCTGGGCTGTTTTTTGTTTCAACTTTATTGTGATACAATTCAAATACTATCCAATTTACCCTTTAAAAATGTACAATTCTGGGCCTCTCTGGTGGCGAAGGGGTTAAAGTCTCAGCACTATCAAGATATAGCCAGCCTCAGAGCTTGAGTTTGATCCCACCAAGAGATCTGACCGGCATGCTGCAGCAGACCTCTCCTGTCTCCAGACCTCTCCTGTCTCCCCGATGCTCCTCTCAGCAGGGCATTTCAGCAGATCTGCCTGTTCTGCTCTCTACTCTGCCTTTGGCGCTTCATCTTACTCTCCATACCTCTGGCTTATAACCTAGCTCTTATATGAATAAATAAATAAAAATAAATCTTTTTTAAAAAATGTACAATTCATGGTTTTGAGTATATTCACAAGTTGTACAACACTAATCTCAGAATATTACATCATCCCCCATAAGAAAACCCATGCCCTTTAGCAGTGTAAGAGTTATTTTATATTGTCAAAAATATGCTCTTGTAGTCAATGTTCTCCCAAATAATATCATATTGACAAATATTAATCAATGTCAAAATGATTTTAGTATAAAATGATGAGATTGACTGGAAGGTACTGACTTACCTTCTGCTAAGACAAAGCACGACTCTGTATATAAGCCACTATGGAACTGGTACACAACAGTTAAGAAAAATAACCTAGTTCTACAACTAAGACAGTGATAAAGTCAATGCATATAATTTCTAAATAATAAATCTTGTCACATTTGAAATTGTGAATAGACCACTGTTTAAAAGTTTTATGATAAATGTCCCCATGTCTGATTCTAAGATGTAGCCTGGTAATACTGATGGTATAGATCATTCTTTCATGTTATAATAAACTTCCTTAATGATTTCTCTAGATCCTCCAGAATCTCTAAGGGAAATTAAAGTTGTCTCTACAAGAATTATGTCACTAAATCCCTATACCACAGCTATACAGAGGTTACACTGGAAATTCAAATAGTTATATTTCCCCAATATTTATAACAGATTTTTTAAAAAGTAAAGGATATAGCTTTACTAAGATCCAGTTGTACTGTTCCTGTAGGGTCTTCAAGAAAAAATTTGCCCTAAAAAAAAAAAAAACCACAAAGGAAACAAACACCTTTGTGTAAAAGTGAATACTATGACAAAAATAACTGAAATACTGATGATTTTGACAATAGAATATAGTAGAGTACAGCAGATTTTTTTTTAATCAGCAATTCTTTGTCTAGGTCTTTCCATTTACAAATCTTGTGATTTCAGACTCATCACTAAATTGGGACTCAGATTCCTCATAAGTACCCAGGAAGCAACTGCTCTAGATAAAAAGATGGCAAGAGAGACACTTGCTGGCTGCCATAAAATGACCCCTCCAGACACCTTTGTATGAGAGAGTAAACAGTGTCTCCAAAGAACCAGGATATGGCCTGCAACTTTTCTTGTTCAGCAAGTCAGTTCTCTGTTTAATCAAAGGTTACTGGTGGACTAATTTCAGGCCATGCAAACTAACCAGTCTATATTAGATGTTACTTCCTGATGTCAACTCAAGGAAAAGAATAGCAATGAAAAAATGACTTAAGACTGAGTTAGGGGTCTTCAATGAAGACTATGTTCCTGTTCCCTTTTTAGAAATGCTATATGTAACCAACATCTCATCAAGTGATGGATGAAATAAAAATTTGATCTTCATTAAGTTTAGCTTACCTCCTTTAACTGGGTTATCATTCCAAGAACAATCACATCTCCAATTTTGGTTGTACTACCCAGTAAGGTTTCTATTGTTTTAAGCTAAAATAAAAAAATAAATAAATCCTTAGAGATTGAAAATAGCTTCTTTTAAGAAAATAATCTTTATTTGGTTCACCCTGGTGGTGCAGCAGGTTGGACCATAGCACAGAGAAGCTGGCCACAGCTGCTGCAGTGAGAGCAGGATCCCCCCCACCCTGGAGCTGACCCACATGGCATGGCAACCCTCTCCTGACTCGCCCACTGCTCCCCTCAGCAGTGTACTTCATCGATCTGCTCCCCACTGTCTCTGATGAATTCTCTCACAGTTCCGTACCTTTGTATGCATAAATAGATAAACAGGTAGGTAGGTAGATAGATAAATAAATAAATCTTTTTTTAAAAAGAAGATCTTTTTAAAATAAATTTTGAGTGCATGTTATAGCGTTGACATCTACGTTCTGGTCAAAAATGAAATAAAACTTAGAAAACATAATTTTGTCCTACACAAAGCTAAAATAAAGTAAGCTAAAATAACTCTACCATGGCTTGGAAGAATTATACCTAAAGAAATATCATGTCAACTGAGAATGTAACCAGTGACTAATAATATTTCATACCATACAATTTTGCATAATGATAGAACATTTATTTCTAAATTTGTAGGACTTGGGACCCAGGGCATGAATCTTACTAAAGGTAGACATGCATAGGTCAGTTAGCTAATTAAATAGCTAAAGGAGTCAGTGGTTCATTTTCACTTAAAATTCGGTAAGTTGAGCCTCCCTGGTTGAGCAAGGGGAAAGTCTCAGCACTATGAAGCTATTGCCAGCCACTGCAGGAGTTCGATCCTTGGCCAGGGAGCTGACCCACATGGCACAGCAGACCTTTCCTTTCTCACCCACTGCTCCTCTCATCAGTGTGTATCAATAGATCTGCCTGTTCTGCTCCTCACTCTGTCTCTGATGAATTCTCTCACCCCTGCATCTCTGGCCTACACACCAGCTCCTATATGCATAAAAAAAATAAATCATTTTTTAAAAATTCAATAAATTATTATATATAAATTTTTAAAATTCAATAAATTAGGACCTTCCTGATGGCCTAGGGGTTAAAAGTCTCAGTGCTATCATTGCCACTGCTTGAGTTCAATCCCCAGCTAGGAAGCTAATCTACCTATAGCACAGCAGATATCTCCTGCCTTATCTTTGGCTGCCCACTCTGTCCCTGGTGAATCCTCTCAACACCTGCACCTCTGGCCTACATCCCAGCTCTTCTACACAAAATAAATAAATAGTTAATAAATTAGAATTAAGCAATAAATTTTAACCTTATATAGTTACACCTTCAAATAACTATGATAAATTTTAACCTGGAATTTGTTTCCGCTTTCATCAGGATGAGAACCTATCACTGGAGGAGTGAATAATTCATGTCTGTGTGTCCGCTATAAAAAAGAAAGATTCACATGAATTACTAAAGCAGGTATTTAAATGGAAGATACCCTGATGAAACAGGGTAGTAATTAACATTACTATTATATATTTCAACAACTTTGAAAATTCACATGATTTAATATACAAGTATCTAGAAATGTAATTTTAAAAATGAAAAAAACATGTAAACAAAGACCTATTGTGTACCTGGCAGCAGCATAATCTGGACTGAGGATATGATAACAAACCAAGTTGCCATCCTCAGAGCACAAGTGTTAGTCAGAAGTGTGACCCAGCCACAAACAATAAAGGACCCTGGGCAAAGGGAGCATTCAATGAGATCCTAAATTATAAATAAGACTTTGCTGTAAGAAACAAAAGGAGGCTGAGATAAGTTGTCAGGCAAAGGAAGAGATGCATCAAGATAAAAGTTACGAAGTATTTAGGAAGTGAGATAAGTTTGGCACAGCTGGAACAAGACTGAATGTCAGACAAAGTAAGAGGTTACCTGGGGTACCTATTTGGGGAACCATCCCTCCCCTACTATAGGTAGTGCCCTACTCCCTTCTACAGAAGGGCAACCAATTCCTAGTTATCGCTACACATTTGACAATTCACAGTTCTAGCTTCATTCTAAAAAAGTAAGATTGAGCGATTTCATTGAGTTTTGGAAATTTTACAAGTTGAAGATGGAAAACTGAACTGCATTTTCGCCAGGATTTGCTGTTTTATTTCTGTAATGGGAAGAATGCATGGCAAGCTTGTGAAAAGTCACATAAAGTTTATGGTTACAATGCTCTACAAGAATGTGAGTGCCAATGATGGTTCATGAAATTCTGTGCTGGAGATTTTAATCTCAACAATGTCTTCCTTGTCTGAAACCATCTCTTTTTTGTCCCCCAACTTACCTGGTGCAAAATAGTGTATCGTTCACGAAATACTTCTGCTTTATCTCTGGCTGTTCCAAATAAACTTGGTGCAGGGTGGTCGGTCATTGAAAGACTGGAAAAAAATGGCATAAGGAATGGCAGCGTAAAAACAAAACATAGCAGTGTGCTCTCTGGAAAAGAAGAAGCTCTTCTGCATTTCACAATATGTGTCAATCAAACTATCACAGTACATGTCCTGAAGTTATAGAGTATGTATACCAATTATTTCTTATTACATTTGGAATAAAAATTTTAATGCAAATCTAAAAATAGCTTAAAATCAAGCTGGTATACTTACGGAAGAAATTTTTTTCTTTCTGAGTTGTACACAAAGCGTGGACTATCAAAGGCACCAATGATATTGAAAATATGTTCTCTGAAAAACATCCCACAAAAACACAAACTTGATTTATTTAAACACAAATATTCTAGGTGAACATAAAACTTGTATTATAATCTTATACATACATACTAGCTACAGGTCATGCACAGAATTTCTTATAGTGTCATAATATGGAGGTAAAATTTTCCTTTCAAGAATATTGCTCATACTTGCTGCTCATACTGTCTGTAGGTAAATAATACCCTTCTCTAATACTGTAAGTATCAAGAATATAACCAGAACCTCAGAGATTCTTTTTCTATTTTAGATCTTTTCCTAGAATGCTTCTGTATAATATTTTGCAAACAAAAATAAAGTTTTCTAATTTAAAAAGTTATTTGTTGAAAAGAATATTAATTAAAAGCAACATCTTAAAGAAATCTCTCCCCATATGTACTACTTTTATGAAATTAGAAAAGGAATTATAATATGGCTTTTTTTGCAGTTTAATAGAAACAATAATAGTATATTGTTTTTCCAATATAATTCAGGGACCTCTCTGGTGGCTTAAGGGGTTAAAGCACAGCACTACGAACCTAGCCACAGCCACTGCAGCACACGTTCCATCCCCCACCAGAGAGCTGATATAGACGGCTAGCAGACCTCTCTGGTCTCACCCACTGCTCCTATTTTGGTCAATCTGCTTGCTCTGTTACCCACTCTGTCTCTAGTAAAGCCCCGCACCCACCACACCTCTGGCCTGTACCCCAGTTCTTGTATGCACAGATAAATAATTAAAAAAAAAAAGAAAATCATTCAAATAAATTAAATATAAAAAATATAAATTGACTAAAACAAAAAAATTACTTTCCAGTAATTTTTAAAACACAAAATATTATTTAAGTGTTCCAGGAAAAGGTCTAAAATAGAAAAAGAACCCCTGAGATTCTAGCTATCTTCTTGATACTTAGAGAAGGATATCATTTACCTACAGTATTAATAAAATAACCATGTTTGAAAGGTTTTAAAAAAATCCACAACTTTTCAACTTTTAAAATTCCATAATTAGCTCCCCAAATGAAAACATTCAAAACAAGTTCATGCTACTAGTAGGTAGCGCTAAGTACAGAGTCACAGAGAAGTAGAAGGCTTGAAAACCTGGATTCCAGACACAGCTCCACCAATATTTGGTGGATCAATCTCAGAAAGTTATTAACTTGTCATGTCATTTCTCTACTACAAAAAGGAGAGTCTCTCTTGTGCTTATAGGATGACTTTCTGATGACTGAAGTTGCAAAGACTATTTACCGTAACTTCAGTCCCCAATGGACCTAAACCCTGGATAAGTGTAGTGTATAAACAGCTTGTCAGAAACAATGGCTAAGTAATTCCTATTTTAGCATTTGATATAATCATTTTGAATTTGTACTGACAGCTATAGGAACCTGTGAGTACTCCAGTATGGAAAATAATGAGTTTGCAAAGATTAAATTTAAATTCCTCAGTCTCTCTCTTAGTGACTTCAATAAATTCTGACAGGGAAAAAGATTAAAACTACTGACCAAAAATAAAGGTAATGATTTATTATAGTGATGCCCCCAAATAGGGAAATACTGTTAAAGGTGAATCTGTCTCTCTATATTTTCCCCCAAGTAAACTCTATGAATTTGGAAAGAAGTATCATCTTCACAGAAGGAATAAAAAGAGGGGACATTCATGGGGAAAAAAAACCTGACTATCTGTCATGCTGTAACAGCATGTGGTAGAGGAAAGAGTTATAAAACTGAAGATTTACCCTCATTTACCATTTACCACAAAATTGGAGTTAAGTCCCTGAACTTCTCTTGACTCAGCACTTTGCCAAGAGCAATAGCAAAGCATACTTTTGAATATTTACATTCATAGAGTCAGACTGCAAAGTCAGATAGGTTTGTTAAATGGTAAAACTTAGCAGTGGTACAATCTTAGGAAAAAGATAGGAAAGCTGAATCATTTAACAATCAGGCTGATAATGTAGGTTAAAATGACCCTGTAAGATATAGCCATTATAGAAATATTGACCAGTAATTATTAAGAAGCTAATGCTTAAGAATTATGACAAATATAATTATTAAGAAAATAATCTAAAATAAGCACTACATAATCTCTCCATAGGGGCAGGGGGGTTGTTTTAGCCACATACCTAGTCTCATCTACAGACTGACTGCATTCCTGAACTGCTGCTTCCACGACAGGCCGTTCAATCATGTTTGATGACACTGAAAAGAGAATTTCAAAGTCATATTTTTTTTT